GCCCACTCATCTAGCCTTTCTATTTCCCTTTGCATTCTTTGTGCATTCACAGCTTACTCTCCCACCTGTCTTCATATCGTCCGCAAATTTAGATATATTAAGTTCTATTTCCTCATCTAAATCATTGATATGGACCGTAAATAATTGAGGCCCAACCACTGATCCTTGTGGCACTACACTAGTCACGTCCTGCCAATCTGAAAAGGACCCATTTGTCCCATCTGTTTTCTTCCTGTTAGCCACTCTCCAATCCATGCTAATATCTTTAATTCCATGGGCTCTAATCTTATACAACAGCCTTTTATGTAGCGCCTTATCGAATGCCTTCTGGAAATCAAAATACACCACATGTTCTGGTTCCCCCCTATCTAACTTGCGAGTTACATCATCAAAAAACTCTAAAAGATTTTTTAAACATGATTTCCCTTTCGTAAAGCCATGTTGACTCTGCCTAATCATGTTATGATTTTCTAAGAACCCCACAATGATGTCTCTATTTAAAGACTCTAGAATTTTTCCACCGATGTCAGACTAACTGGTCTATAGTTCTATGTATTTTTTGTCTCCCACTCTTCTTAAATAGTGGCGTTACGTTTGCGACCTTCCAATCAATGGGAACCATTCCAGAATCCAGGGAATTTTGGAAGATCAAAAACAAAGCATCCAGTATCTCTGCATCCACCTCTTTTAAAACCCTGGGATGCAGGCCATCAGGTCCAGGGGATTTATCGGTTTTTAATCCTATCAATTTCTCTAGTACTATTGCTTTACTGATGTTCATTTCTTTAAGTTCCTCACTAATATTACCCTCCAGGTTCCCCTCTATTTTCGGTACGTTTGCAGTGTCCTCTAACGTGAAGACAGAAGCAAAGTATTTGTTTAGTGACTCTGCCATTTCTTTATTCTCCATTATAATTTCTCCTGTCTCTGCCTGCAATGGACCCACATTCACTTTTGATAGTCTCTTCCTCTTTATGTACTTGCAAAAACTCTTACAATCTGTCTTTATGTTCCTAGCTAGTTTACTCTTATATTCCATTTTCTCCCTCTTAATCAGTTTCTTGGTTTCCCTTTGCTGATCTCTAAAGCCCTCGCAATCCTTAGGTTTACTACTCTTTTTGGCAGTATTATAGCCCTCTTCTTTTAATTTTATATTTTCCCTAACTTCTCTAGTTAGCCAAGATTGAACCATTTTCCCGTGGTATTTTTATTTTCAAGGGAATATGTGATCGCTGGGAATTATGTATTATATCTTTAAACGTTTACCATTGCTGGTCTACCATCATATTTTTAAATCTACTTTCCCAGTCTATTTTAGCCAAGTCTTCTCTCATACCTGTAAAGTTGGTTTTATTTAGATTTAAGACCCTTGCTTCAGATTCAACTATATCACCTTAATGTTAAATTCCATCATGTTATGGTCACTCTGCCCTAAAGGAGCCTTAACTTCAAGATTGCTCATTAGCCCTGCTTTGTTACACAATACAAGATCTAGGATAGCCTGTTCCTTGGTTGGTTCCTCAGCATACTGTTCAAGAAAACTATCTCTAATGCATTCTATAAACTCATCCTCTAATTTACCTTTGCCAATTTGGTTTTCCCAGTCTATATGAAGATTAAAATCACCCACTATTAGTGTATTTCCCTTGTTACATGCTCCTCTAATTTCCTGATTAATACCCTGCCCAATCCTGTAATTGCTGTTTGGGGTCTATAAACTATTCCCACTAGTGTTTTCTACCCCTTGTTGTTTCTCACTTCCACCCATACTGACTCTACATCCTAATTTTCTGATTTAAAATCCTTCCTCTCTACTGATTTAATCTTATTCTTTATTAGCAGGGCTACTCCCCATCTCGATTTCCACACTGCCTATCTTTCCTATACGTTGAATACCCGGAATGTTTAGCTCTCCTTGTAACCACGTCTCAGTAATAGCCACTAGATCGTACCCATTTATGTCTATTTGTGCACTTAATTTTCCCCCTTTTACAAATGCTTCATGCATTCAGATATAGCCCCTTTAATTTTGACCTCTTACTATTTTCCCTACTCGTTAATGCCCTATTTCCTTTGTTAAGCTTTTTGTCCCTACTTGCACTTTTATCCCTACTTGACACACTACTTGACACCCAGACTTTGTGAATTCATTTCAGACTCTAAGATTTGAACTAAGTGATAGATTGCAACTACAGCCAAGATACGTATCTTCTCCTATCATAAAGAACTACGGTGATGGCAGAGTGGGTGGTAAGGGGTTGCTCCAACAGAAGTGATAATAAGAGACTGCGGTATCTTTGGGTTTATAAAACACAAGTAGCTATGAAAAACAACAAGATGCGTCCGTTTTTAATCTGTTTCTGCAACCAATACTTTGTAGTCCATATAAAAAAATCAACATCACACTGTGCTCTGCATTCACATTCATTAATTTTATGAGCAAGAAATATGTAGAGAATCGACTTACAATTCTTCCAATTCAAATCAGCAGGTAGCTTGAGAATGCCGGCACAGTGACTGATGTGGATTCTTTATTCAGTTTCTGCAGTGAACTACGAGCAAATTAAGAAATACTTACTTTCTTTTTCTCTGTCTTTAGGTTTAACTAATTAAGAGGATTAGGGACATAGCTTTTCCTGTAAAACTTTGTTAATTGCTCCCATCCCTTATACAATCTCTATTATGGATTCTACTGAGATAATTCAATTGCCAGTTGGGAAGTGATGCATAACTACTGTCTGATGCCCAAAGATAATTAAACATTCGTATTTTTCTTGTTTCCATTATTCAACCCAGACCTGCAAGAATACCTCCAAAAGGACATGAACCATTGCTTCCAGTGAATACTTGATCCATTCAGTCTATACTTATCTCTTCTACCAACAATCCTACCCTCTCCCAAATAGTTATTGCCCATGAGCTTGTGATACAACATGTTGGAGTAACACAACACCACCACACTGCCTCAAAACATAGTGCTGTGTTTGGGCCAAATGTTAAAAATTTAGACAAATACCTTCTTTGATAATAACTGCATACATGTTTGTGGTATCAATGGAGAAAGTGAAATGTGTTTCCAATCAGAGCAATACAAGTGGTAATAGGGAAGTAATCTATTCCCCCAAACTATGGGCTATTTACTTGCAATGGGGGAGGGGGCAAAGCAGAGAAGTGGGACTACTTGGTAGCTCTTTTAAAGAGCAGGCACAATGGGCAAAGTCAAACCGCCTCCTTCTGTACTGTAAGATCCAACCATAAAACCACACTATAGTTTCCTTCCCAGGATCCTTTTATTCTTCCTGTTCTATTTAATTGGCTCTTTAAAGTCTTTAATATCCTACTTCCTTTCTACATCAGACACCTGCCACAAATCACTTTCATCAGGGCACTAAACAGAGGGCGTGGATCAGACTGAACTGTACCCAGGTGTTTGTTTGTTTTGGCTGGATGCAAAGGAACTCCAGTGGATAAAAATAATCCAAAATCACATGATCTTCCTCCCGCAAATCTAAACAAACTAAGTGCACTAACTCCACATGAGGATGTCAACTTGGCTTAGGTTTGTGCTACTTTCCCCTCTAAATCAGGAGATTGGGGGTTCAAGCCTCACATAGGCACTTGAGCTCATAGTCTATACTGACACTCTATTTGTAGGAAAATGCATCTTTTGGATGAGTTTGGAATGGTCATCAGTGTTGAAAGCAGTAAAGAAGTAGAGAATAAGAGGGCAGTGGAAGCCATGATTATAAAGAGAGAAGATGTCATTGGTGACTTTGATGAGGGCTTTCAGTGCTTTGGGTGGGGAGGAAACTGAACTGGAGGGGCTCGAGCAGTGAGTGGAGGGAAATGTGGGAGTAAAGCTGAGTGGCAGCAATGCATTAAAATTACGTGGCACTACTAGAAAAGAGGAGTTTTTCACAGTGAACTAGCCAACAATCCTCCAGAAAAAAATTTGGTCATTTACTTCATAATAATAACCCTTGCATTTGACGTAGTGCTTTTCACATCTTCTTGACGTCTCAAAGTGCTTCACAGAATAGACTGTAAACTGAATTGACTGTATATTTGCGGGTGAAACGTGGCAGCCAATTGCGCACACCAGTGTCCCACAATCGTGGATTGAAAATAACCAATTATTGTTTTTGTAGGGATTATTATTAGGCGTGTGGAGTAAGGAAAATTACCCAAGGTTTCGCCCTTCATGGCTGTTTGTAGCACATTGCCGTTGCAAATTGGCTGCTGCTGAAAATATGGTAACTGGCCTCAAAGTTGGGATAGCACAATACAACACAATTTACACTTATATGGCAATTTTCGCTTCAGGGGGATGTCACAGAGCTCTTGATAATGCCAGCTGGGCACCAGCAATATTTAACAATTGGCCAAATTCTGGACCTTCTTAAAATACTACATATGGTAATGGTTTTCAGCCACTGTAACTCTGATCACTGTTACTCTATCCCAGAGTCCCTCCAATTGCCCCTCTTTTCCTACCCTAAGACCAATCTTTTCAACCTCACTTTCAGTCACCTTACCCATCAGCTCCCTTCCACTCTCCCCCCACTGCCGCCTTCTCGCTTCTCTGCAAGCATGGGCTCCTTAGTAGCTATCCTCCCAATGCAAAAAGCATTACAGAAACTTCCCAGCTTACCAGACTCCGGATGGCCGGAATTCATACCTAGCTGGACTGGCTTGAAACAGAATTTTTAAAAGACATTTCCACAGGTCCACTCTCCTAATGCGCTTCCCTTATCTCATCATGCTTGCTGACCTTCAATGACCAGGGATTATAAACTTTGACTCAAGATTTTTTGGCACTTAAAAAAGCCAGTAATTACATTTAGCCAGAAATTCCGGATCGCCAAACCAGATCGCACCCCCCTCCCCCCATAATTAGTCCAGCCAGCCGGGGTTTAGTGTATATATGAATTGTTGTTGTTGCTCACTTGCAGCCTTATTTATAACAACGTGATTTGATAGGTGCTGACTCACACCTACAGTCACTTTCATTCCACTTTTATTCAAGGTTGCAGCATATGATAAAGTACGAATGATGCAAAACAATCTCAAAACAAAACATGTACAGGCTCAGAAATGCTCAAATTAATTCCATTCAACACAGGAAAATGCAGTTCTAAACAAAGTGATCAGTTATCCAAATCGAGGTAATACCTAAACAGTTCATATAATCACTGTCCACTTAATTAGATTTTTCTGGAGATCTATTCAGTCAGAGTACATGAAGATCAAATCGCATTTGTTTAGTCATCACCAGAAAGCGCTTAAAGCTCCAAAGATTCCGTTAAGCTTAATTAATGGACTACTCATTACAGATTTAAAAAAGATAACAAGTACTTGTGGAAGCTTGTAATAGCTCCCCTTGGGTAAATCAATAAGTAACATACTACTGAGCTATATACTGTAAATTGGAAGATATTAGGTGTGAGCTGAGTTTATTGCTCTCATCTGAAGTGCAGCAGAGTGCAGAATCACAGAAATTACAGGCAAACACAAAGCAAAAGGCACAAAATAGCCTAAAGGTAAATTATACAAGTTGGAAATGGGACATAAATGTAGAAACTGCTGTACATCTGAAACAGTCAACATCTGAAAGCTTGTTTTTTTTAAGCTTGTAGAGCCCAAGACTATGGAATGACTAATGTAAGACGATCGTGGAAACATGGCATCATAGGAACACAGGAGAGGTGGTAATCAGGAAGGAGATCAAATGGGCCAAAGGGCCTTCTTCACCTGAATTTCTCTTTGTGATCCTTCTCATTCCCACAAAAGGGACTCCTGCACTCCAGTTAGGATGAAGATAACATTCTTGATGTTAAACAAAACCATGGGATGTCCCCCAAACGTGATATCTATATATATATATAAATGCAATTTGTTGTTTTTCTTTCAGATACCAATTGACCTTGTGTAAATTGCCAATGGTTGTCTATTATTTGTATTTGATTCAGTGCAACACAAATAAGTTGTTGAGGAAGTGAGTACTCTGTGTACATTAAAAAAAATTCCCTTCATAAAACTGCATTTAGTAGCCTGGACACCCTTGATGTTGCATATTATTTTGACATTCATTGACATAATAGAGAAAATCAACATACATCTTAGGCAAGCTTCTTGTCTTTTTGCCATTAATCTTTCACTGTGGTATGGTTGCATGGCATCCACTGCCGACTGATACATTGGCCAAGTGACCATTCTGCTTGTTGAGCCCAGATGGCGAGTTTTGGTAAACCCAAACCTTCACCTCTAATAATGAATTTAGCTTTCAGATTATTTAGGTCATACATAAATGTATTATGTAACTACAGTATGTCTATGTATGGTTAGGAATAAGGACTTCTGCTCCTAATTCCCGTCCTTGCTGAAAAGTGCAGGCTCTGGGCGAAGATAAGATTGAGTTTGAATGCAGTGCTGCCTCCATTTGCAGAGTGGATTTACACACACTCACCATCTGGGCTGATGTGTCAAGAATGGCCAATTGGGGAAGCACAGACTTGGAAACAAACAGCACAAGCATAATTTATCATTTTGAATATTCTCCCAACGCTATACCAAATGTAAGGATATCAGATCAACCCTGATGTGTATCAACAGTATTTTCTGTTATTTCAGATTTCTGTCATTCATACTTATTCGGATCATAATTGCTTACCATTCAGGAATGCTCTACAAAAGCCTCAAAAGTTTAAAAAGATAATTTACAAAAGGGTCCCAGATTTGCTGCCTCACTTTCCCTGAATGTTCAGCATTGTCTTCGGGCTCTTCTTCAGTTTCAATCTGCTGATGTCATACTGTGACTGACATGCCGAAGAGCTCCTGTCATGTGTTAAGTGTTCATGCTCCAGCAATCGTTTCAGTTGATAATAGGTGAAACTGCAGTGGCTCAATTTGCCTGAAAGCAACAAAAAAAACATGCATTTCTATAAAGCCCTTCAGGCAGCGTCTCAGAGCAATAATGTAGTTACAAGAGTGATCATGTTGATATATTATAAAAAATCATGTCTCATGATTTCAGGAAATCACAATGATATTCCCTATGGTCAGCAAATAATCAATGTAATGCACAATTGACAACATGTATTCAATACTATCGATTTAGACACAATTTTCAAAAAATTGGATAAATTTATCCAAAATATTCCAATTACTCAGTTGGATGTCTGACATACGTAGAAACCCATCACAATTGTTATGAGCATCCCAACCAAACTGAGTTCCACATATTTTGTATGCCACTTGTGCACAGGCATTTATTTCCCTGTGTCTGGAATAGAGTACACTCTGCAAGAGGGGAATTAATTGTAGTGTAACCAAGAGTGGAAACAATGGTTGATTTCCTCTCCCTAGCCCAAGAAAACCTTTAGATGAACATTGACACTGTGAGGAGCAAATACAAACTATTTATACTCAGAACAGCTCAAAGTTTCATAAGTGCCAATTGCAGTGTACCAGGGTTGTAGTCGGAGATTTTATCCATAAATCACAAATTCTTAGTTTTATACTCACAAATCTGTGAATTATTTCTTGTGCTATTGTTTAATCTTTACAGTAGATGTTGTACTTCAGTTCAGCTCCAAGCTTTGTTCCTGCCAGGCACTCCTCAAACTTTGCATCCATTTCTTCGCTCTGTTTGTCAGTGAAAAGATTTTTCCAGTCTCCAACCACACCTTTTTTTTTACAAAAAAAATCAAAAAACAATTAACTGCAAGTGGGGGAAATAATAGTTTCAGCTTTGATCCTCAATTCCTGGAAAGATGCTTTTCTGTCTGATTGTCAGACATCAAGTCCTTCATCTGAATATCAATAAAACTGATTAATGTGGGGGATTGTTGGCCAGGACACTGGCACATCACTATTCTCCTTCAGAATACTATCATAGGCTAGTCCTGATGGCCTAGCAGATAGCACTGCAGCCTCGATCCATTACACCAAATTTAAGTTGTTGGTTAGCCAGCTGGTTTGAATCCTGGCTCATGCTGGGTTTGCTGGTACTGGCCAGGGCTGCATAGGGAGATTGAATTGGATCTTGGCCTTCTGGGGTTAGGGAGGGAAAACCTAATTGAGTTATTGCTTCTCATCCCTCTTCAGCACTCTACTGATGGTGTTTGTGTGTGGCACCCAGGTGGGAAGAGGTCAGGCTTGGCTGTGTCACCCTCTACAGTCAAGTGGCCATGAATTACAGCCACTTGAGAGAGGTATTGGAATATCAGAAGAACTACACAAAGAGAACGACTATCAGGTGGGCGAGGACGGGCAGATTTGCATGGACCATCCTGATGTTTTTCAAAAAAAGGGCAATTATAAAAGAGGTGTAGCTAAGCTATACATTGTTCCATCAGAATTGGTCATCCTGGCATTTGGACCAACTGATATGATGAGAGAGAGCACATATTTCGATTCCATCGCTTTGAGACTCAAGTCGCTCTACCTCGACTGTTCCAAAGTTCCAGCAAATTCCAGCAATAGAAAAAAAGAAAGAGAACAGAAGAAATGCAACAATATGAGAATAAAGCTGCAACACAACTGCTAGAGAATGAACTTTAGTGCTTTGATTAATGTTGATTGCTGTTATCAACGTTCCAATTCCAAAAACGAGACCTTTAGTTCTTCGATTTAACACTCAATATTATCAGCTGAACAGATTGTTCTCACTACCACTAACCATACCTCTTGGGCACAGTAGAGTTGTTTTCTGCCTTATTAAGCAAACAAGCTGTAAAATAAATATTGAGCTCCTAATATAAAATTGCAGATAACAGAATAAGCAGTTCTTTTTTGGTCACACCTTTGTCCCAGACAACAACAATGTGGTTAATGCCACTACTAACCATACCTTCGAACCCAACATAACTGAGAGAAAAACGCCCAATGGGTCAGAAGCACCAATTTGGCAAGGCCCAAGGCAGCCTGCTAATTACGTGTCAATCTTAATATAAACACTGAGGAAATAATCTAAGCAATCATTAACGGCTGATTCCATAACGAACAGTAGATGGTCCAATCATGTATTCCATTAGCAGCTTTATGAAGTGAACAGAAGGGCAAGTATTCCTGAAGACTCTATAGTGCTGTGTGTTTCCTTCCTCCCCCCACCCAACTTCGCCAGCCAAGCTATCCAGCTAAAGCCCCTTGCCCCTCCCCATGGCCAGCTCCAAGGAAGAAAGGCTTCCTTCCTGGAGTCCTGCAGCAGTGGCCAGTATAAAGTAATACTTGTGATCAAGATTGAACAGCTCAACTCAACACCCCCAACTTTTTGCTCATTTACCACAAGTGCAAATAAATATAGGACATCCTTGTGAAAATTTGGTGCTGGTTTGATCATTGTATGATACATTCAGTATTTCAGGGATTGCTAGCACATATATGCTCTTTTTCAAACTCCTAAAATGTACCAGACTTCCTTCACCACCCAACCAATACAATTTAGCTCTAATAAAAGTTAATTTGCAAACCAGTCCCATTACATCTATAAACTGCAAGAAGTGCCTCTCCCTGCTTAGTTCACAAGTCCACAATAGCTACGCATTTGCAATGTTGACCATTCATTGTGTTATCAGTAGAACCAAATACTTTCTAAACTGGTGGAGTAATTTACTCCACGCTTGATCAAAACTGGACAATTTGTATGCAAAATGGATTTGAATATGAGCATTGTTGTGGATCTGGATTTCTGGTCAGATCATATCTTCAAACTGCTTGACAAAGGGCACTGAATGGGCTGAATTCATTTTACCCTTTCCCACGTTCCTATTCAGAGTACCACTTGCCAAGTAATGAGCAGCATTGAACAGCCCCATACACTGTGCTTTGTCAGGGACAGCTTGATTCACTGGAGCTGCAGCCAAGGTATCTGACGCGTGTGAAATATCCAGTTGTGGTCAACTACCATATGTTGAAAGTTTTCTTTGTGGTGGAGGGATAGGGACAAGAGACTTACTAATGACACATGCCCATTATACCCACTGTGAGAGAAATCCAGGATGATTTCTCACAGTTGTAATTATTTGTTTCTTTAGTCTACAAATCCCTTCATGCCTTTGCACTTCCTTACTTTTCCGACCTGCTTTCTCCCCACTCCACTACCCGCTGCCTCCATTCGGCCATCTCTGGCCTTCTGTTTGTCCTCTCAACCATTGGTGACCGCACTTTCAGCCACTACGCCCTGAAGCTTTGGAACTCTCTCCCTCAATCCCTCTGCCTTGTCCCCTCCTCCCCTTCTTTTAGATCATGGCTGAAGACCTTCCTCTTCGACTGTGCTTACGGTCCCCTCCTTCCTCCCCCTGGCTCGGTGCCAGGCTCTGCCACTGTTAAGCTCCGAGATGCTGTCTTACGTGTAGGGCGTGATCTAAAAGCAAGTCGTTGTCGTTGTTGCCACTTCCTAATTCTTGCTCATCTCAATTTTTTCCCTTTTTTTAAATCTAGGCAGACGGTTTTACTCTCCCATTCGTTCCTTAAGCACTCATTAAGGCATTCATTACCATATGTAAATGAAGGAATGCTGTATAAATATAAGTTGTTGTTCTTTCCACTTTTTCTAATTTTGCTTGGTGCAGTGGTTCTCCCAGATGGAAGTATGGAACACCACGACCAACTTAGGGGGAAAGGTGCTTCTGATCCAATATAGGTACAGGCCAAGGTTAAAGAAAGAGAAAGACACACACACATACGCACACAAACACAGAGTCAGTGATACAAAGAAAGAAACGGAGCCACTGACGAAGAGACAAATTCAGAGAAAGTGAGGAAAGCTTTGTCCAGTATTAGGACAAGTGCTGGTATCTTCATCTCAATCCCTTACTGTGATATTGCACATTCCCGTTTGATTCCCACTTACCCTTTCGGAAGAAAATCTTGCCTAAGTTGCCATGTGTTTTCTGAGAGTTTTCACTCATGACCTTGAAGTCGGCTTTGCTGGAGACTTTTTGAACCTGTTCTTCATTCAGAGAGTAACCGAAATGTTTCGCCACCTTCTTCACTCCCTCTATAAGGTTCTGACAGAAGAAATAGCAGGTTATCGAACGCATGATAAAGAGCAAGATTTGTTAATCTGTGTTCCCTTTTTTTGTTTTAAAACAATTTTCTCTCTGTATCCTTTCCTGAAGACACCAAGTCTTGCTGAAGTATGTCTCATGGAAGGGAAGAGGCATCCGATATTTCATCCAAATAGCATTCTTCATGCATTAGCCTAGACACAAGGAATGTCAAGCAGACTACTTGGGACAGGAGAGCTATGACTACTTGATCTTGGCTTTCACATTTGTTTTATCGAATAGACGTTTATCTAAAACTCCCCTGGCTAATTTTTCCCCTCTCATGTCTAGTTGGCTGAGGCCAAATCTAGTGTTCCAGTTGTCAACTGCTACAATACAGAGCTGCATATCTGCAAACCAGATAACCGCATGCCTACTTCTCTGCAACGGGGTAGAAATTCGGAAGCAAACTCAGGTTGAAACTTCAGAGGATATCTTTGATTGCATTTATGGCTACATTGTAACCAGCAGTAAGATTTCTTCCATACTTCTGCTAGTGTGAACCTGCAAAATGACGTACAGTTTGTTCATTCATTGATCTGATAAAGATAGAGGATCAAATTGTTGTTGCTCCTATACTGAACACTTTTACCCCTATTTTTCCTTTGTCCCTCATTACCCCCATCACCCACGTGAAATCTACCACCTGACTGATACTTTGACCCTACTTCCCTCTCCCCACCCAGCAGCTGACCACACAATGGCAGCTCCTGTGGCCCCTGCAGGCAGATGTAATCAGAATGTTCCTCTCTTCCGGCACTCCATCCTTACACAATTTTCCAGGGTTCCCCACCTCGCTTGAGCAAATTGTAAACTGTTCAAGCACCACCACAATAATAACAAAGCACATGGCAAGCTGAAATTGAAGTTGCCACCTCCAGTAGATAACCATGAGCTTCTTCTGAGCTTCAACAGAGGGAGAAACTTCCTACTTTCACCTTTACATCCAATTTTCAAAAACTATAATTGCTCGCAGTTTTGTTCTAGTGCATGAAAATCTAGTCTCGTATATTCAAAATTCTCTCTCCTGTGTACAATTCCAGGCAATGACATTGACTTAAATGATGTAACTGTTTAGAGGTTATTTTCTGCTTTGCACAGTTAAGAAGAAAGCCCTGCTGTACCTCTTTCAGTTCTTCAAAGGTAATGACCATCACATTCTCATCGTCAATGTGTTTGTTCCAGAGCAGTGCATGATCAAAGTAGGATCCCCAGGGAACTAGTACAAATAAAGAAAAAAAGTAACCAAATTGTATTTTTCTTTGCAAACCAACAGAAACAAATTATTTTTTTATCTCCACCTCTGACTCAAGTACTAACCATGTTCAAGAGGATAAGCTGGAAACCTGAAACTCATAGTTTCTCATGGTCTTAGCAATTATTTTTAATGCAAATGATAAGTCAAAAAGTCAACACATGTACCTTCTCCTGTCATATACTTTTTGTAGAACTCATCCCAGGATGGAAAGGTTGGTAGTAGAGGGTTGTTTTGGCAAAAGTGAAAGTAGGACACTGCTGTATCCTTGGGATTGCGAAGCACAACCAGTATCTGGAGCAAAGGGACAAGAAAAATCTAATTTGGATCTGCAAGCAATAGTTTGTAGAGAAGATTAATTCTCATAACATATGATTCATTCATTCTCACAACATGTGCATTAACATTATTTAAGAGATGCAATTCCTGGATTCAGTTTAATTCAATTTAATTCTAAGCAATGCATGGCATGAAAGTATGTCTCATGGAAGAGAGTGAGAGAGTGCAGGGAGATGTCTCTGCCAGAGCTGTTGGATGGGTGACTATTAGGTCAGAAGGTCAGTATTCCTTAGATGCAGTAGTGTAGACACTATTGCTCTGTCGCACAGTGTTGGTGCCTTAAGGTTATATGCCTGCTATGCTCTAGTTCACAGTTTAAAACTTTAACTGCACTTTTATGCTATTTGCCATAGAAACAGTCAAGCAGCAACAAACAAACATAGAACCTAGCCTATACAAAATGCTTCTTGTTGCATTAAATGTTCAAATTCATACAGAGTCCTCTAAACCTTAAACTACTACAAGATCTTTGGCAGAAACAAAAACCGTGTTTGACTCATTATACCTAGCTCCAATGAATTCCCCATCTACTGAAGTTCTGAATTCCTGAGGTAACTCTCAGGTTTTAGATAGTTTCACTGACTCAAAATGAATTATATAAAGAAATCCAAGACCTGACTTGCATCTTTTGTAATTTTATTGTACTGTTGAGATTGCAGTGTTTGTTTTATAATAATAATACTTGCATTTGATATAGGGCCTTATCATGTCTTCAGGATGTCCCAAAGCGCTTCACAGAATATACCGTAAAGTGAATTGACTGTATTTTTGTGGGCAAAATGCGGCAGCCAATTGTGCACAGTAACGTCCCACAAACAGTTGTGGATCGAACAGACTAATTTATTATTATTATTTTTTTTGAAGGAATTATTACCCCCAGAAAAGCAATCTGCCAATCGACTAACAACCAGGTTTCTATTCCTTGCTAGGTAAACAGAGGCATGTCGAGTAAGGAAACTTGCCCAACATTTCGCCCTTCCGGGAATCAAACCCAGGGCTCGCAAGGCGAGTGCTCTAACCATTGAGCCACGGGACTCCACATTTTCATACATTTTAATGACATAGACTTATATTAATAACCTCACCTTGGTTTTTTGCTCAATAATAGATTTCGGGATGTTCTCATAGTGTTCGTGGGTCCCATAAACCCGGGGAGATGGCAGCTTCTTCATCTCCTTGAATTAATAAGAAAATACGCACTTTAAAAAACATATGCCTTTACCTGGCATACTTTGGGTTACTTGCTCCCCATATCATGTATGTGTTTTCTTAAAGTATGCCACTTTAAGAAAACACATGCGGGATAGATTTGCTTGGGACAAAGCATTACTCTGTGCAAAGTAATGAGTAACAGACAAAAACTAATATTATTAACATGCAATTTTTTTTGGTCAGCCGAGTGTCTGACATGTGGAAACCCATCACCATGCTTAAGAGTATCCAAGCTAACATGCATACACCATCTACCTGGTGCTATTAAATTACTTGTCTTTCGGCAACAAGAAAATGCATACATGATTAGGGAGCCAGTCACCCAAAGTATGCGAATTGGTAATATATTCCTTGTGTATAAAGAACATCTCCAATTTAACGAGTCCGGCACTTGTATTGGCATGGAGGGTTTCCAATGAAATTTGACTGTTCCTTTTTGATTGGAATGTGCCTGTCCCCTCGAGACTGACACTCCTAGTTGTGGGAGGAGCTCTGCAATGTCAGAGGTCTTATCTTTCCGATGAGACGTTAAACAGATGTTAAATCTGCCGACTCGGATAGAAAACATACTTGAAAAGAGAAAAGGGTTTCTCCTGGTGTCCTGGCTAACAATACCCCAGATTTATTTTTAAAAATGGCTATTTGTGGGATATTGCCTACAGATACAAAGTTACAGTGCAGAAATAGGACATTTTTTTCCGTACAGGTATTAATACTTCACACTAGTCTTCACCCTTCCTAATACTCTCTTCCATTCTGCTCTATTCTCTTCTTCCTCATGTATGCATCAAGTCTTCTCTTAGTCTTAATTTTAAAACTGGAATTTTGTAAGATATTTCAAAAACTGTATAAATCCATATTCATAGTTAAGATTAATACATCAATTTGCCAGATTCTGAACATTCTAAAAAGCTTTGTTAAAATGTGAAAATGTCAAAATGCATGTGTTGTGGAATTACTCCTCAAATATTCCTTGAAATTTTAAATTCTCATCCTCACTTTTAAAGCCCTCCCCAGCCTTGCTCCTCCCTATCTCTGTGACCTATAACAACAATAATAATCCTTGCATTTGATATATTGCTTTTCACGTCTTCTCGACATCTCAAAGCGCTTCACAGAATATGCTGTAAAGTGAAATGACTGTGTATTTGTGGGCAAAACGGAGCAGCCAATTGCGCACAGCAGTGTCCCACAAAGTGGATTGAAAAATGACAAATTTATTATTGTTTTTGAGAGGGATTATTATTAAGCGTGTGGAGTAAGGAAACTTTCCCAAGGTTTCGCCCTGCCTGAATTGAACCCAGGTGTTTCGCTTGCAAGGCGAGTGCACTAACCACTGAGCTACAGGACTCGATCTACTACATAATATCAATTTGACCATTCCCTTCGCTTGATGAGAACTGGCCTGCTTCAAGTGCCATGCCCTGCTCCCCCCACCATTGGCAATCGGGCTTTCAGTTTTTCTTCCCCCATCCTCTGGAATTCCAATCCAGAATCTCTTTGCCTCACCCGCTCCCTTACCTGCTTCAAGGCCCATCTCAAGACTTTCCTCTTTGATCGTGCTTTCGGCTACCCTCAACCCCTCTTGATTCCAACCCCCAGCTTGGGTTCAAACCCTTAACTATCCAGCATCTTGCGACATTCTTCAGACTTGAAAGGCACTTTATAAATGTAATTTTGCTGTTGTTGTGGGAGGTTTTGTGAACACATACCTCAAATTTCTCAGGCCCACCAAACTCCAGCAACGGAAAATGAGTTTTAGATTCATGCTTCTCTTCGCCGGATTCTTTTTCATTGACATTGACAATGTTCTTAACCAGCTGAAACACCCAATTAAACCCTGGGTGGAATGAACAGCTTAATCAAGAAATGTAAAACTGAACAAAAAAAACACAAATATTCAAACAGAAGCTCCACCCTACAGTAATTGTGCAAATATAAATATATATCCAAATATCTATAACTCTTCCTCATTCACACCCAAATTCTCTAAACGGAGGAACACCGAGTCGAGTCTGAAGGTGATGAAGGCATGAACAAGAATTTCAGCATCATTGGATAATCTAGAAGCTTTTAGATTACCAAATGATATATCTCACTCTCTGCTATTCATTACCATCTTGTTGGTGTATCCCCTTGTGGACCTTTGGCTCTTCATCTAATTTAATGTGATTATAAATTTACCATGAATTGCCAAGAGTACTGGGTTGGCCTGAGAGAGGAACAACAACAAGATTACATTTGTATAGCGCCTTTCACGTCGAGAGGAGGTCCCAAGGCGCTGGACAGTGTACAGCATTTCAGACCTGAGCTGGGATCAGGGGGGAGAAGGGAAAGGAGGAGAAGGGGGGTGACCGACGGCATGGTCGAAGAGGAGGGTCTTGAAGCGGGACTTAAAGGAGGCTAAGGAGGGGGTGAGGCGGAGTGATTGGGGAATGGAATTCCAGAGGTTGGGGCAGAGTGGCTGAGAGGACACGGGCTGCAGAGTTCTGGATTATCTGCAGTCTGGGGAGGGAGGAGTTGGGAAGGCCGACAAGCAGGGAGTTTGCATAGTTGAGCCTGGAGCTGATGAAGGAATAAACAAGAGTTTCAGCAGCCTGAGGGGTGAGGTAGTGGCGTAGTCGGGCAATGTTACAGAGGTGAGGTCAAGCAAGGCGTGTCATGGCTTGGATGTGGGGAAAAGACAGTTGAGGTCAAACAAGACACCCAGGTTCCTGACTGGTTTGGTGAGTTGTCGTGTGTAACCATGAAGGTTGATGCTGCCAGAGCCTGATCTGCAGAGGCGTTGGCGTGAGCCAATCAGGAGGGCCTCAGTCTTGTTCACATTCAACTGTAAGAAGTTTGTCCTCATCCAGGACTTGATGTCCGACAGGCAGTCTGTCAGGAGTTGAGGTCCTGGAGTTGAGGGTGGAGGCAGAAAAATAGAGTTGGATGTCATCCGCATACATATGGAAATTGACCCCATTTCTGATGATGATGTCCCCAAGGGGGAGCATGTAGATATTGAAGAGGAGAGGGCCAAGGACAGAGCCCTGGGGGACGCCAGACGTGACAGTGCGGGGGCTGGAGGAGAAACCGTTTGAGGCAACAAAGTGGAGATGGTGAGAGAGATAGGAATCGAACCAGGCAAGGGCAGGTCCGCGAAGATTAAGTAAAGAGCAACACTCTCAAGTGGGTGAAGTCAGGCCAAGGCAAGATGCAATGAGTCAGGAGTGTGCAAATTTAATGATAGAGAAATGTCATTTTATAGGAAAATGCTTGGTATGATTATGTAAAACGGCATAAATGTATCCAATTTTACAACTCTTCCATTTAACCCCGGTTTGAGACCTCTACTACCTCACCGCTCGGTTCTCTCAATCATACAGGTACTGTAGTTTATCGGTACTCACTGGCACAT